TATTATCCTATCACAGACAGCGTACCTCATGACTGATCTGGATATGTTCTTTTTGATGATGAATGCAACACCATTTCTTTTCAACTTGCCATTCCTGACATAGTAAACCATGTGGTTGTCAGATTCAAAATGGCCAATACCAGTCCATTTCAGCTCACTAATGCCTAAGATATTGATGCGTATGTGTTCCATTTCATTTTTGACAACTTCCAATGTTCCCAGATTCATACTTCATACATTCCATATTCCGATTTTCAATGGATGTTTACAGCTATTTCTCTTCATTTTGAGTTGTGCCCCATTAACAAATGAAGGTCTCATGGGCTTTTCTCCCTCGGGCTTTACTCCATTCGCGTCATCACGGTCAACTCTACTTTGAGGAGGCAGCTCTTCCCCAGTTGCATTTTGAGTGCCTTCCAACCTGAGGGGCTCATTTTCTGGCACTATATCTGACAGTGTTTCTTTGCTATTCATAAGGCTTTCAGTGACTAAATATCCGGAAGTAGTTCATCACTCTTCCTTCCTAGTCTGTCTTCATCTGGAAGCGCATCTGAAACCTGTACACCATGGGTGACGCTGCTAGAATTTAAAATACTGGTGGCATAGCCCTCAGAATCACAGCAACTCACAAGTCACCACAGTACAACAAACTGACAGATGAGTGGCGTTGAGAGATGTTACAGTCTGAGGATTTCAGTCAATGACATGAAACCAAGTGTGTATGAATGTCTAAAGGATGAAGAAACTAGAAACTGACTTTGTCAATAACTATGAAAACAGCTGCTAAGGAGTCAATCATTTGAATTTCAAGGATAAGGCATTTTAATTGGGAGATAATTCATGATTTTTAATGTAGCAATTCGATAAATAAGATGAAGATATTTTATCTACCTAAATAAAGATTCCTACAAATACCTGTGCAGCTGAGGAAGGAATTGCTCCCAGTTGAGGACCCCTACACTGAATATTTCTAAGAAAGACTAATCCCACCAAAAACCAAACAACACCCCCACTGTCGTGGAGTTGATTCTGACTCTAGTAACACTACAGGGCAGAAAAGAACTGCTCCATGGGGTTTCCAAGCTTTCAGTGTTGATGGAAGCAGACTGTCTCACCTTTCTCATCTCGATTCCAACCACTGACCTTTCAGTCAGCTCCCCAGCACTTAATCCACTGTACCACCAGAACTCCTTAATAATAGCCCAGCTTAGCCCAAGAAATTTTGAAAAAGAACAAAATGGAAGGCTGACACTTCCTCATTTCAAACCTTATTACAAAGCCACACTATTGAAGACAACGTGTCAATGTAAGGATTGGTGCTGATGTTATTGGGTTCCATTGAGTCGGTTTTGACTCACAGTGACCCGATGCACAACAGCATGAAACACTACTCTGTCCTGAGTCATCCTCACAATTGTTGTTACAACTGAGCCAATTGCTGCTGCTGGTGGTTATGTGCTGTGGTGTCAGTTCCGATGCATAGCGACCCTGTATAGGGTTTCCAAAGCTGTAAATCTTTATGGGAGCAGACAGCCTCATTTTTCTCCCAAGGAACAGCTGGTAGTTTTGAACTGCTGACCTTGAGGCTAGCAGCCCAACTCATAACCACTATGTTACCAGAGCTCCTTCTGTGAATACACTAAGTATTTCCTTTCATAGCCCTTCTTTCAACTGTAATTAATTATTTCTACAACTACTTACTAAAAGCCTGGCTCCTAGCTACAGTGCAGGAGCAGTGGGCTGTGGCACAGAAGAGAAACTCAGTGAGTTCTCATTAGTGACAGGGAATTGAGAGATAGACATATGTGATTGGTCTGCTGGATACTGGGATGGTCAGAGCATGGGCACTGGTGCCATTGATGGATGAACCAAAGGTCTGCTCTTCTCCATAGCCACAGGGTCTTCAGAGCTCCACAGCTCTGATGGATGAACCCCACCCCATGAGCTTCCAGAAAACTGACCACACCACCCTCACCTGCCAATTGTAACCAACTTCACTTCCAGCTGGGCCTATCCCTCAATGCCTGTCTTTCTCTCCTTACAGAGGGTCCTGACCAGGCTCTGAAGCTCTAGGCCCTCATCCAAGGTGATGTCAGCATGGGGAAGGCTGAGCCCATGATGACCTCAGGGTGAGCCTCCTAGCCCTAAGCCCCCTTCCTGAAGGATCTGGGGCCAGGGCTGGTCACAGGAAAGTCAGCCAGAGGAGGGCTACTCCAGGATGGTCAGGCTCTGAGCAATGGCTCAGCCATCCAGACCCTGGAGAGCAAGAGATGGGCTAACACCTCTCTCTAAAACCACCCGAGGGACCAGAGCTCCACACTGACCATCCACCTAGGGTGACTCCTTCTAGGACACATAAGAGACTTCTCTGCTGCCCATCACACCTCCAAGAGCAACTTGTCCCTCTAGAAATCTGGGTCCCTATTCTCAGTCCTTGGAAGCTACAATCAAGCTAGGGTCACATGGAGACAGAAGGGTCCCTTTCTTACTCCAAACCCTTTTCTGGGACCTTTTGGCAGGAAAAGCACATTTAAGAACACTGGCAAGACCCCATGTGCCTAGGTGAATTTCTGTGTCACAAAAGACAATAATAATCTTCTGGGTTTGGGGACCCAAGGCCAGCAAACAGCAGAGCCGAACACTGGTGTGGGCGGGTCATACTCAGTGTGCAGAAGGTCTCACAGTCTTGCTTCTCAAATTGATCTGGGGAACAGCAGCTACAAAATCAGCTAAGAAACTGTGAGACACAGACTTTCAGTCCCCCCCACACCACGGAATCACAGTCTGTATTTAACAATATTTTCAGACTCACTGTCTGTACAGGAAGGGGAAGAAGAACCATCCCACCCCCAGGTCACTGGTTCTCAGGCCTGCTGGGCATCTACAATACCTGTGCAGCCTCTTTAAGCCATCACCTGGGGACACCTCAAAAGCTTCATGAAGTCTGATGAAATGCCCTGCTACAAGTTTCCTGACATAGGCCCTAGGGCTTCTGCTCTGAGGATGAAAACAAGCGTTGAGGAAAAGAAGCTTGTGGACCTCTGTCCAGAACGTCTAATGACTCAAGTGCTTGATTCACTTCACCCATGGGATATGGATGGGAGGAAGGGCTAGACCTGAGGAGAGCAGAAGTCTGTGTTTCTCAGGAAATGAAACTCACACAGGGAAGATGGTGGAGGGCAAAGAGGAAGGAGTGAGTAGGCATGAAAAAGAGAGACTTCTTGGTAGAGAACCCACCCCCAACCCATGTGACTGGGCATAAAGCAATGAGGAGGCTTGGTTGAACTGTCCAAACCACAGCTGCGGAGTTTCTGGTGCCAGGGGATTTGCTGATCTGAATGGGGTAGTAGAAACCTATGGAGCTCCCCTCAGCCTCTTCCTGCAAAGGGGGAATCTCCTGGTCAGGGCCTCTGCTCATAGGTAAGAGGGGATGCTGCCCAGGAGTGGATAGGGACAAATGCAGGGACTGGCTGGGGCCTCCACGGGAAGGTTGTGTGAAGTGATAGAGAACCCAGTTTTGGAGCTTGTGGGGAGAGGACACTGGAGTATAATCACTGAGTATTGGGCCCAAGGGGGATTCCTGGACCCTGAGATGAGAAGGGAAATTCAATTGCTATCATGCTATATATTGACTCTAAGGCAATAGGTTCGTTGGTTGGTTTTTGTTTTGATCATTTTAAACAATGTAGCCCTCATCCAATACTAAAACTGATAACAGAAATTGTAATGTCTGTAATATTAAAGCTTCCAGAAAACAACCTAATCAGGGACTTTAAATGTTGCCCTTCCCAACCTCGTTATTGATGTTGTTAAGTGCTGTCAATGTGGTTCTAACTCATAGCAACCCTGTATAGGGTTTCCTAGGAGCGACCGGTGAGTTTGAACTGCTGACCTTGTGGTTCAAACAGACTTTGTGGTCCAATGCATTATTCCACAGTGCCACACCAGGAGTCCAAGGCTACAGTCCCGGTGTTCCTAGGCAGTCTCCCATCCAAGTACTAACCAGGCTCAACCCTGGTTAGCTTCTGAGATCAGATGAGACAGGGCGCATTCATGGTGGCATGGCCATAAACTCGCCAACTTTAGACATCCCCTTTATATTTATTGGAACTAGACTGCAGACTTGGAGGGAGCTGGAGACAGTTAAGGAGCCCTGTGACAGTGGGTTAGCCATTGGGCTACTCACCCTGCTAACTGCAAGGACAGTGATTCAAACCCACCAGCAGCTCTGGAAGAGAAAGATGAGGCTGTCTGCTCCCGTAAAGATCAATGGACTCAGAAGCCCTTAAGAAGCAGCTAACTCTACCATACCCTGTATGGTCACTGTGCATCAGAATCAACTTGATGGTTTTAGGATTTTTGTTTGTTTGGGAGTCATTTCATGGAAGGGTAGCCTCATGTGGACTTTTATTACTTCATTCAACCCAATAACCCAGATCCAACAGATGTCAGACCTATTGTAAGCACCCAGATATAACAGTGAACTAAACAAGTCCTCACCCCATGGAGCCCACGTTTTAGTTGGGAGAAAAGCAGCAAACAGATCAGTAGTGTTGTGACAGGCACTCATATGTGTGATTAAAAAAAAAAAAAGAATCAGAAAAAAGTAGAACAGGGTAAGGTAAGCGTTATTATCAGGAGGGACCAGTCCCTAGAGAAGGAGGTCATGTTTGGTAAAGGGGAGGGTCGGAGAAAAAGAGGAAGACCCCCAGTGAGGTTGATTGGTGCAATGGCAGCATCAATGGACTCAGGAGTAGCAACAATTGTGAGGTTGGCATAGGACCAGGCAGTGTTTCATTCTGTTGTGCATAGTCAATATCGACTCGATGGTACCTAACAACAAAGTTGAGAGTGGAGAGAGATGCCATTTAGATTGGAGGGAGGGAAAGACACCTTCAGAGAGGTGACATGGAGCAGAACTCTGACATAGTGGAGGAATAAACCACATGGGTATCAGGGGACAGATGATTCCAGGTAGAGGAAGCAGCAAAGACAACGCCCTGAGATGGAGTGTGTTCCATGTGCTTGAGGAAAAGCAGAGGTCAGAGCTGCTGGAGAGCAGTGAGGTGAGGAGGAGAATGAGGTGACCTGGGCAGAGACAGTGCTACTTACCACATGTGCAGTCATCTCTCAGTAAGGGTGTTTGTGATGTTGAGCTGGAACTAGGAAGAGGACACACAATCCGTGCCCAGGGACTGGAAGAGACCAGTGTTAAGGCCCCCACGTTCCTTCCCAATATAGACATCCAAACACTGACTGACCTCTCTGTCTTTCCTCCTAGTCTCACTGTTAACCTTCTGGAACCCATCCCTTGAGGCTCAACTCACTGTTGAACCCATGCCATTCGATGTGGCCGAAGGGAAGGATGTTCTTCTGCTCGTCTACAATTTGCCAGAGAATTCTTATGGCTACAGCTGGTACAAAGGGGACAGTGCACGGCTCAGCCAACAAATTCTAGCATACTTAACAGAAAATCAATCAATTGCCCTCGGAGTGGCCCACACTGGTCGAGAAACAATTTACCCCAACGGGACCCTACTCTTCCAGAAAGTCACCCAGAAGGATGCAGGAATCTACACCTTACAAGTCCTAAATAACGACTTTCAGCGTGAGCTAGTGTCTGGACGGTTTCGTGTATGCCGTAAGTGACTCCCCTCTAAAACTTTGCTGGGTCAGATGTAGGTAATTCTACTTCGCAATCAGATTGTCAGACCCTGGTCAGTCCTGGATGTGCCTAAATCTCCTTTCCATCACATTCTAGGATCAGGGTTTGGATATTAAGTTCAGGAAAAATCAGTGAAAACAAATCTCAAGACCTGGGAATTCCCAGCCACAGACTCTAGCAGCACTTTGTTGCAGGGAGCAGGGATGGACGGATCCAGTCTCCACTCTCCCCAACCCTGGAGCACCTAGAAGAAGCTAAAGGAGGGAAGGGCTGCCTCAGGCCCTCCATCTGCACATGACCTTGAGGAAAAGGTCAAAGGGTCTCAGACAGACCATCACCGGCAGGTCCCAGGGGAGCCCCCAAGGCACTGTGTCACTTTTTTTTGCTGTGATGTCTTGAGGCTGAGTCTTCAAAGCTATGGTTAATCTTTCTGCCCCTGAACTGTCTGCTTTGGCTCTCATCCTGTGCTTCATCACTTGATCCATGTGCTTCAGGAAGCAGTAGAGGCTCAGACACTGCACTGAACCATTTGCCAGGAGAAGAGACAACGGCCTTAACAGGAGGGTGAACAGGAGGAAGGCACTAAGCCACCCTACTCTACCCCCTCCCTCAGTGCTGTAGGACAAGAGACAGCAAATGACCTTCCCTTTCTCCAGGCAGGGCCATGTCCCAGATGAGGCAGCAAAGTGCAAAGGAGAGGGAAAGGAGATGATGGGAGGGTTAAGTCTGTGACCTTGGACATGGGGGTGGGTAGAATATCTACACAGAGAATGGACAGAGTAGGACCTGGGACCCCAATGTTGGAGGAACTATGGGATTGTAACACCAAGGAGGGTGCAGGCCTCTGGGGGTTCCTCAGCTGTGAAGTGATGAAGCAGTTTCCCCATTCAGTTCCTCCTTCAGAAGACACTCCTTGGTGGGAAAAGTTAGATTTTCCAAGTATTGTTGTTGTTAGATGTCATCGAGTCAGTTCCAACTTACAGAGACCCTACGTACAACAGAAGGAAACACCGTCCGGTTCTGCATTATCCTCATAACCAGTATTCTTGAGCCCACTGTTGCTGCCACTTTGTCACTCCCTCTTGTTAGAGGGTCTTCCTCTTTTTTGCTGACCTTTCAGTTTACCAAACATGATGGTCTTCTCCAGAGACAGGTCCTTCTTGATAACATGTTCAAAGTATGAAAGATAAAAGTCTCACCATCATCATTGTCAAGGAGTAATCCGGCTGTACGTCTTCCAAAACAGATTTGTTTGCTCTTCTGGCAGTCCATGATGTTTTCAATGTTCTCCACTAACACTATAATTCAAATGCATTGATTCTACGATCTTCCTTATTCAACGTTGAGCTTTGGAATGCACATGAAGAGATTGAAAATACCATGGTTTTGGTCGAGTATGCCTTAGTCCTCAAGGTTACATCTTTACTCTTTAACTCTTTTTTAAAAACTTTTTATTGTGAATTAAGGTTTACAAAGCAGATAACCAGTTTTGTATTCAACAAATTATAAACTTCGTTTCCTTTCAATGATTGAAATCTCCTCATTGTAACATCACTCATCCCACTTCCTCCCTGTGATTCTTGTTTCCATTCTTCCTTCCTTCCCACCTTTCTGATTTGTCGTTGGGTACAGGATTGACCATGCTGTGGTGTTTTTGACCATCACTAGTGTTGTTGTCCCCCTGATATGGCTATCTACTTACTGCTTGGCTGAAATTTGAACAGGAGTCCCTTCCCTGCCTAGAAACAGTTTCTCCCCAGCCAAGCCCCACATAGAGACAACCATTCTAATGATCTTAGGACTTAGTCATTTTAGGGATGGAGGCTGATCAGAGAGCATTTGGGCTTAGCATCATAGACACACAAGGAGGGTATATCTGAATCATATATACCTGTTGGGAGGTGAAAGCAAAGGTAGAGAGGTGAGCAGACATGGACACTTGGGAGGGACCTCAGAGATGTTCATTCAAGGCATTCCCAGGTCTAGACAACACTGCTAGCCTTCATTGTGGCAATCTAGAGCAGAGAGAGGTCACCCTCTGAAGGGGTCAAGCTCTTCCCTTCAGGACTTCCCTAGAGCAGCCCCTCCTGAGCCCAGCAGTTGGGATCCCATTGGCAACCTTAATCTGGGACCAGGATGGCTACACCAAGGACATCATTTTCTCTGATTGTCTGCAGGGACACGGGACAAACCCAGAATCGCAGTCAACAGCACCATGGTCACAGAACACCAGGGCTCTGTCACATTCACCTGCCATGGCAGTTACAGGGGGACATCCATTCAATGGTCCTTCAATGGCCAGAGTCTGTGGCTCTCTGAGAGGATAAAGCTGTCCCAGGACAACAGGACCCTCATCATCAATGATGTCAGGAAGGAAGATGGAGGGTCCTATCAATGTGTGGTCTCCAACCCAGCCATTGTCTGCAGAAGTGACCCTGCCACCCTGAACGTGAGCTGTGAGTGACCTCATGCCCTCCCACCTCTTCTCCTGTAGAGTTCACTTAGTCCACCAAGGCACCGACTTTGTCCTCAGTGTAAAGTGGATGTAAGTGGATGTGACATTAAGATGGATAGAATGCCTCCCCAATATGGTAGAACCATATGGTTAAGAAGCCAAATCAAGACTCCTGCCATCTAGTTGCTTTCCTGGTTCTGACATTTGTGAGCTGGTTGACTCTGTGCAAGACACTCAATCTTCCTGAGCCTCAGTGTCCTCATCTGTAAAACTGTAACAACAACCTGGATCTTCGGGTTGTTATAAGGAAACATACTATGAGGTTAATGAGATTAAAGCCCTTAGCCTAGGATCACACACAGAGTCAAAGTGGTAACAGCTGTTATACTTTCGTGACTGTTTTTGTTGTTCTTAGCTGTAAAGTCAAGCAGATCTGGGTTGAAATTTTGTTTCATCACTTACCAACTCTGTGACCTTCAATGGGGAGCACACCTCCCTCCCTCATGGGACACTGAAGGATCAGATAAGATGTATGTGAAGTGTTTCTCATGGTTGCCTGGCACACGGGAAACTCTGAACACAGTAGCTAATAGTACAACGAATCAGGGTTGCTGAGATCTGTACGTAGTAATGGAGGAGAAGAATAAGAGGGACAGGCACAATATGAGAGGCCTTAAGAGGAAAACGGACAGGACACAGGCTTGGTTAAATGTGGAGGATGAACAGAGTTAGAGCAAGTACAAGGTTTCATGCCGAAGAAACAGAAAATGTAGTAACCAAGACAGAGGGTGTGTTGGCAGGATATTCTGATGACAACACACAGAGACTGAGTGGCATTTCCGCTGCCCCAACCAGGCCCTCTGGCCTGCAGGGCCCCTTGAGGTTTCCCCTGCAATATCTTCTCATTCCAGCACGAGAACAAGTCCTGGGCCTCTCTGCTGGGGCCATCGCCGGCATTGTGACAGGGGTCCTGGTTGGAGTGGCTGTGGCAGCTGCCCTGGGGTATTTCCTGTTCTTCATCAGGACATGGTGGGTATGACCACACATCTCCCACCCTGACTCTGTGTCCCCTAGGTTAACTCAGGTCATAAGGAAGGCAGCCCCGTCCTCAGATCCCAGACCTGTCTCTCCATAACTCCCAACACCCTTAGAAACCCTCCTTTCTCCTTCTCTGCAGACTGTCTCTTACCTTGTGTTGACCTCTGGCTGGGTCTCCAGGCTCTTCATTTCCGTTGTTGTTTTTATATGCCATTGAATTGGTTCTGACTCATAGCAACCCTGTATCGGGTTTCTGAGGAGTGACTGATGGGTTCCAACTATCAACCCTGCAGTTAGTAGACCAGCACTGATCTATACTGCACACCAGGACAACCTCTTCATGTATAGATTAGGGCATTTACGGCCCTGACCCTCAATTCTAGTTCATTCACACAGCAAACCAACAATGGTACCTGAGAAGTAGAAAGTGCTCAGTGAATGGCCCCTCTTGTTAAGGGGGATTATGAACCCAGGTCCTGAGGGGTTGTCCTGGTCAAAATCACATAGAAGACAGTGAAAGAGCCTGGTCTACCTTGGGGGTCTGAGCCCCCCAGAGATTTCAGATGCATTAACTGTAGTCCCCACATGTAAGATGAAGTCCCAGACTTGATCGGAATGGCTGCATCTCTTGGCCATGGAGATTAGACAAGACCATTGTCATATTCCAGCGTCTCTTGACCTGAGCAGGGACTGTATCTCTTCAGCAAGTGCACCACATTCAGTGAAAATCTAGGCTGCCCTGAAGTTCTTCCAGTGTCCTGACACTAACTGACCCATCTGACCATTATGGTCTCTTGAGAGCCATGAACCTGCTACTCCATCAAACCCTCATGGATCAGCTCCTTCCCTGGTTCTAGGTCCCTTTTGAGTTAGTTTTCTCTTGAGGGTCCTTCCCTTTGTGTCCAGGGCAGATGTGACTTTTTTAAAAAAATGTTTTATTGTGAATTATGTGATAGTTTACATGGGAGAATATTAGTTTTACATTCATTCTATCGTATATCGTCTCATTGCCATGGTTACAATCCCCTCCATGCCATCCTTCCCCCGTGGCCCCCAGGTCTTCAGCACACAGTTGCTCTCCCTCTCTGGATCTAAAGTCTCCAGCTGCTCCATCGCTCCACTTCATCATCTCTGGCTCCATTTCAGGCATCACTGCTTCTCTGGGTAGGGTCCTGTTCTCTGCTCTTCTCCCTTGATGGTCCCAGGGACCTCCACTCCTAGACTGAAAAGTTAATCACTCCCCTCCTTGCTATAAAATGTCTACCTTTACATTTCCAACCCTCACAATCAGTCCTGATAACAATTATTCACTATTGTATCACAAGAGACCTGTCTGCATTTCATTGCATCAGCCCTGGCTAGTCAGATTGAATACTACTCACTGGTGATGCTACCTTCCTCCAGGCCCTCTGGATCTAGGTTCCCTCATGAAAGCTTGTAAGCCAGTCACTTCTTGCCTTTGTAGCCCCTCACCCCCCCATTTTGGGTAGCCAATGTCCAAATTGCCCATCCCTGTCTACTGGCAGATGTGACTTTTTAAAGCTTCTCTTCAGATCCCCATCTAGGCCAGGCCAACCTACCACCTCGGTGATGGAGGAAGGAGGTCTTCATATCCTTCCTGAAAGCACTTCCTTGTCCTCTGTTCTGACCTAAAACCCCATGACCTCTCCCTGAGCCCTCATAAACATCTTGACTCTCCCTAGGGTCTGCAACCAGGATGACCTTGGACATCAGCGGCCTCCAGGTTCCACCCCCAGTGAGTGCACACTTAGCTAGGAAGAATGGGGGCCCCAGGACCTCCACACACTGTCCATCCTGGCCTGTTATGCTCTGGGATCTCTGGCCCTTATATGGAGATTCAAGGAAGGATAAACCCCTCAGGATGGAGGACCCCAGAGTGACCTTGTCAGCTGTGACCTGTGGGTCACCTCCTCAGCCCAACTTCTGTCCCTGGCACCCAAATGACTGAAGGTGTACCCCTGGGAGATGCTCTCTCCTTCCTCAGTTTATTGGAGCTATACACCTCTTGGGAGGAGGGACCCCAAACTCTCTTCAAGGCTCTGAGTGCTAACTCCTATCTCTTCTCTCCAGGCCAGGGCCACTCTGTCAGCTCTACCTCCCCGGTAAGCCCATCCCTTCTTGCCACCTCACCAGGGAGTTCTAACAGGGTGTGAGACTGGTCAGTCTCACAGTACAGCATTGACTCACCACTCCTCCTAGATTATCTGGGAGAGGGCTAGGCCTACCTGGCTAGGAGCTGGACTTCTCATCAAGGTCATGGACCATCCTAGCCCTGCCCTGAGCCCAGCATGTGTCCTCACAGTCAACATGAAAGAGGACCCTGTACTACATCAAGGAGCACAGAGTGACCCCTGGGAGCAGCAGTCTGGGCTCTGTGGTTAACAATCATGAAGGATGAGGCTGCAGTATGAATGGGTTGGGTGTACAATTACAGACAAGCTGGGGATATGATGTTCAGGGGCCAGAGGTGGTCATTCCTAATGAGATATGACCAAAAGCAGACCCAGAAAGATGAGCTCTAGGCTGTAAGGACAAGAACCTTCCATACTGGGGCTCTAGTACTAGCTCATTTAGGCCTTGGTCCTTATGACCCTTTTCCTTGCCTAATTCCTGATGTTCTCTCTCTCTTACCCAGGACCCCTTGTATAGCAATCGGGCAGCTGTTCCTATCTATGAGGTGAGTGTGGTCTATGAATGTTCTGGGCCTACAAGACCAAGGGAGACTCAGAATTGTTGTACCTGGCTGTGCATTGAGAGTTGGGGAATAGCAGCGAACAGGGGAACAGGTTTGGTGAACAGAGGAGGGGGTCTGGGAGACAAACACCACCCTGAATATAGCGCCAGGGTCTGTACAGAACAGTCCTGGGTGGGACCCAGAACCTGGGAGAAGCTGTAAGACATTCTGAGAAAGTTGCAAGGGATTCAAAAGCTCTTCTCTTTTACTTCTTCTCTTCATTTTCCTTATTTTTTTTTTTAAACAGGAATTATTATCTCCTGACACAAATATTTACTGCAGGATCAACCCCAAACTGCAAGGGGTTCCTTAGTTACCTCCAGGAATTATTACTGGTTGTTATGTCTTTCCAGTCTACTTTTCATTGTTGATCTTCAGTCTCCCTGTTTGATCCATTATTGAAGTGGAGTATTGATGTCTGTAAGTATTATTATTGAACTGTTAATTTTCCCTTTATTTTGCTGCTCTGTTATTTGGTGTATGTTTATATTTGTTATATTGTTGTTGTTGTTAAGTGCCATCGAGTCATTTCCAACTCATAGTAACCTTGCATAGGGTTTTCGAAGAGCAGCTGATGAGTTGAACCACCAACAACCTTGCAGATTAAACTGACTTTACAGTCCAGCACATTAACCCACAGCGCCACACCAGGACTCCATTTGTTATACATTCCTGATGAATTTCATCATTGTAAAATGTCCCTCTATGTGTTTAGCAACATTTTCAAAGTCTATTGTGTTTGGATGACTTCTTGCAAGATGATGGACTAGGCAGACACACTACATGGACCCTCTACAACAAAGATATGGGAGACCAGATGAAACAGACACAGATGAAAATCCTGGAACCCTGAACTTCAGAGGAAAGATTAGAGATGTGGACTGAGTGTTCCCTGGGAGGAAAAGCTGAGCTGGGACGATGAGAGAGGGATAAAGACAGGTGAATGCCTGATTGGATGCAGCACAACCATCTGAACTTTTGTGAGTAGCTTTGGTGACAGAAAGTGCCTGGTAGAGCAGATTCACACAGGCGACAGGAAAGGTGCTATTCCTTCATTTCCCCCACATACCCCTGGTGACTAGAGGTATGACCAGCTTCCACCTTCATCCACTCCCAGTGCAGATGCTGTTTTCCCAGAGATCAGACCCAAGTGGTTGTAAGCCATGCCAGTGTGAGGCAGGGGCCAGTTGCACCATTTTGGGTGCCTGGATTCAGCCAGATTCTGTGGATTCCAGACCTACAGAACCTGCAGAGTCACTAGACTAGCATTGTTGTTGTTGTTGTTAAGTGCCGTCAAGTAGATTCTGACCCATAGTGACCCTGTATAGGGTTTCCAAGGAGCAGCTGGTGAGCTTGAACCATCGACCTTGAAGTTCAAACAACTTTGCAGTCTGACGCATTAGCCCACTGCGCCACACCAGAATTACTCAAGCAGAAATCCTCATAACCAGTCTCTTTGCTTCCAGATGTACTGTGGTCCTAACAGATAATGAAACCTGCCCCATCAAGGGCCTCCATGAACTACTTCCGGATTGAGTGCCCTGAACATAGATAACACCAAGGCTGATAGGAAGTCCATCTAGGGCCAGGGGCTCCTCTGTCACATCCTTCCCACATCTCCTGAGCTCCTTGGCTGGCAGAAGACTCAGAGTTTTCTCCTCTACAGGTCCAACAGTTGCATGGGATTTTCCTCCCCCTTTCTTTGTTTCGTTGTTTTTATTTGTTTATTCTTTCTTCTCTTTCCATCCCCTTGAATTTTATCTCCACTTTTGTTTTTCTTTCTTTTCTTCATTGTCTCATTTCTACTCTTCTTTTTTCCCTTAGCTCTTTCTTTACTACTCTCTACTCTCTTTCTTTCTCATCATCCTTCTCCCTGGGTTTTCTATTCCTTCCTTTTATTTTATGTTTATTTCTCTCCTGTAGCTCTAGTTTCCTGTTCCTCTTTTTTCTTTTTCATTATATTCTTTTTTCTCCTTGCTGCCTGTTTTTATTTCTTTTTTCTCCTTTATTATTTTCTCTTTTCATTTCTAGTTGTTTGTTTGTTTATTCTGTTTGGTTTTCATGTGTGTGTGTGTGTGTAGGTTTCTCATTCCCACACAACAGGAGACAGCAACCGTGCCCATACATCCCAGCCACAACCATACCCACTTGACCACTAGGCAAGAGCCAACACCAGCTCCTATCCCACCTGGTCAGTGATAGGCAGCAGCCACCAGCCAAACCCACCCTAAGCAAAGACAAGCAAATAGCAAATGAAGAATGGTACACATGCTTTCATTCTCTAACTATATCACAGGAGACAGCTGCGGAGAGCCTAAGACTACATCAACATACAATCATCAATTAAATACAAATATGACAACATCACAATGCCCCAGAGATAATGAACCATTTTATCTCACACAAAGAAACAAGAGAGGATGGCTCAAACAAATAACCAAGATGCAGAGCCAGAAAACATTTCTGAGGGAGAAAAGGTAATGGAATTAACTGAAAAAGAATCCAGAAGAATGATATTTAGGTACTTTCAAAGGACTGACAGAAAGATTGAGAAAAGCAAGAAGAACACAGAAAAACTTCAGAAGAATTCAGGAAACCAAGAATACAAGAACAAGCACATAAAATAAACGCCAATTTTGAGGCAATATAAAACCTGCTATTAGAAATAGCAGGAGCTCTGGTAGCGTAGTGGTTACGAATCGGGCTGCGAACCTTAAAGTCAGCGGTTCGAAACTACCAGGTGCTCCGCGGGAGAAAGATGAGGCTTTCTACTCCCGTAAAGATTTACACCCTCGGAAACCCTATACAGGGTCGCTATGGGTTGGAACCGATTCGATGGCACATAACAACAACAACAACATTAGAAATACAGAAGATTGATACTAAGATTTCAGAAATGGACAATACATTGAAAGGACTAAGGAGTAGATTCAAAGCATTGAAAGCCTGAAATGGCTAGCCTGAAGATAAATCTCTCAATACTATTGCGATAAAAGGGTCGGGGGATGAGAGAGGAATAAAGCTTTGTGCACTCTAGGAATCTGGCCCTCTTGAGGACGCAAAATATGCTGCTACTTCCTTTTGTACCTTTAGACCCATTATCCCAGTATTCAAGCAAGGTGTAATTGTAACCAGAACCCCAATACTGTGAAGATAACATGATCTTACATCAGACATGAAATCTTTAACATGATGAAATCTGCTTGAGTAAATGATACAGAGAATTTGGAGTGAGAGAGACTAAGATTTCAGAGACATAACACTACATTAAAATTATATGTATATATGGAAAATGCTTAAAGATTAAACGACACTGAATAAAAACTGCTCACCACAGTGGCTTTTCCTTCTAGATACGTTCCTCATAGTCCACTAGAGGTAGGCAACATTACTCCATAGCCTGGAATCCCTCAGGAGGGCTCGTGACCCTTCTCAGTATCTCTTATAGTCCAGAAAGACCTCATCAGGATTACCTTAGTCCTCCTCACCATCGAGCTAGCTCACTAGACTCTGTCAGCTCCTCCATTCAGCCACAATCTGTCCACCTGTAGACCATTCTCTCAGCACCATGCTCTTCACCTCTAAACCTTCGCTTGATAATATCCATAGTGTTCAGGTTTCTACCCAGCGGAGCTCTCTGATCTCCAGAACAGCTCAGACCCCATTACATGCTCTGGATGCACCAAATATTTTCCCTTCAATACCCATCTCTTGATTATAATTACCTCATTAGTTCCATAATTTCTACTCAACACCTGGCTTTCTGGTACAATGTAAACTTCAAAGCAAAGGGACTACATCTGTCTTGTTGTTGTTGTTGTTAAGTGCCGTCGAGTCGGTTTCGACCCATAGCGACCCTGTACAGGGTTTCCGAGGGTGTAAATCTGTACGGGAGTAGAAAGCCTCATCTTTCTCCCGCGGAGTGGCTGGTAGTTTCGAACCGCTGTCCTTAAGGTTCGCAGCCCGATTCGTAACCACTACGCTACCAGGTCTGTGAAATCCCAGGGCCTAGCTTAGTGCCTGACACATAACAAAAGTATAGTAATTACTTATTAAATGGAGGAGGAGAAACCACACAACACACACATCACCTCATGGACTGACTCCTGGAGCTCAGAACACAGTCTGTGTAAACCCAGAAGCACTGGCAGACACATGGGAGGAAAGAGCCATTGTTTGCTGGTATCCCAGGAATGAGAGGCCTTGGTTTTCATAATGTGAAAGGACTTTATAACAGTGAGAAGATAGGACCTGGTTAGCTTCCAGAAAACGAACTCACACACACTGACACCTGACTTGTGATATCAAGTCTCCTGGAGGGTCTGAGCTGGAACCCTTCTATTCCTCACAGAGAGACCTGGCCTGGAGCAAACCAGATATCCCAGAAAAAGTATTACTAGAGGCCTGAGGCCCAATCAATCATCAGTAAATCAGGGTGGGACTCCCCAGCACTTTGGGTCTTTGGTCTGTGGAAAAACCTGGCTATGGTCCCATGAACCATCTCATCAGTCTTGGGGGTGTGGGGGCTCATTGTGTGGAATGGAATCATTATTGCACGGAATCTGCCTTTTCTTCCATCTCAGACTATGGGCTCACAGGAGTCTCTCATCCCCAACAATAATGTCACAGGATTCTTGAGTCCCAGGTGGGAACATCTCCAGTGCTTGGGATCTGTGGGTAGAACTCAGGTTGACAGCAGAGACACAGATTATCTTGATACAATGCCCTGTGAATGGAAACTTGGGACATTGAAGAACCAACCTTCTAGGCCATTGCCTGTCCATTCAGCCCTATGAAACACCTCACTGGGTCCTTTCTTTGTAACCTTAGGGACAGCGTTCCCCCCGAGCAGTACATCTACCTTGGAGGACAGTTCTCTAGACACTGGAACGAGGTGTCTTCTAGACAATTCACATTCTCTCTCTGGGTTCACCTTGCACTTGGATGGAGGTAGGGCAGCCTAGAGATCCATACTAAACATGATTGAAGACTGCCTATGCATCCTGGAGGTCAGAGTCCATCACTGTGCCTGGTCACACCCATTGGAGCTAGTCAGCATCCCTGGTACAACTCCTGACAGTAACCACAAGTCAAGTCTCCTTGGGGACTCCAGAGGGAGATATAACACAGGAAACAGAGATTATTTCATCTGAGACAAGAACCCGACTTTTGGTTGTTGTTGTTAAGTGCCATTGAGCTGGTTCTGACTCATAGCAACCCTGTATAGGGTTTCTGAGAAGTAGCTGGTGAGCTTGAATCACCAACCTTGCAGTTCAAACCAACCTTGCAGTCCGGCACATTAACCCACAGTGCCACACCAGGACTTCTGGATAAGGAGGTGAAAATGGGGCCTGATTTCCATCCTTTGATCCAAGAGACCCTTCTGGATCCTTCCTACATGTCAGCTCTGTTTTGCCCCCTCGTTGCTGGGGCTCTGAGGTCCTGTGCTTAGAGATCACTGTGCAGCTCTCCATTATCTGCTTGGCTCCTTCCACCCAGGGGGAAGACAGGGTGGCCACAGGAAAGTGAGCTGGGCAGAGGACAGAGGCCACTAGGACAGTAAGAGAGAACATAGACAGACTCTGAGCCATAGCTCAGCCAAACAAACACCACAGACAAAGGGTCTCCCTGAAACATTTTCCTGAGGACATGGATCCTACAGCCCCTAGACCTCATCACCATTCCTCTCTCCCAAGAACACCCAGGGGAGCTCCCCCTTCACTCCCTTGTAACTCCCTCTTGGACATTTAGATCCTTTACTTCTGTCCCTCGGAGCAGAAGACCAGGCTGGTGATACCAAAGGTAGACAGACGGTTGGTCCCTCTCACCACCATCATTCAACTTCACCCTGTGAGTCACTTCTGTGACCTTCAAACAGGAAGTAAATCCAGTCTTCCTAGTACAGTTGAGAACACTGGGAAGACCTGGGTACCAGCTGGGTTTCTGTGTTACAAAGGGAAATCATCCCTGGGTGAGGGGACCCCAGGGACTCTGTCTGGTGCTGACAAACTAAGACCTGGAGACAGTAGAGGCCAATGCTGATGTGGGCAGGTCATCCTCTGAGGGGACAGAGCTCCCCGAAGTCTTGCTATTGGAAGTGTGGTCCACAAGTGAGCACGATCAGCATCACTATGAGCCTCTTAGCTACTGTCAGGCCCATCCCACACCCACAGAGTCAGAATCTACATTTAGCAGGAGCTGTACACCAGCTGAGTGCACAGGAGAAGGTGAGAAGCCAGCCTCATCTTACAGATCATTAGACATCATCATATTACCTGTGCAGCTGCTGAAGCTGCATGAGTAGGACATCACCTGGACACCGGGATGCTTTATAAAATACCACAGGTGAATCTGTTGCATAGTCAGGTGAAATCCCCCATGACAAGAGTAGCACCCCATATGCCACCTAGACTCTGGCTCTGAAGGAAAAGACCAAATGGGGTTGAAAGGAGTGATAGTTAAGGTTTCATATCAACTTAGCTGAGTCTGGATTCTCAGTGGTTTGGCAACTAAAATTGTGATGGTCACAACTGTAAATGTAGACAATATGTAACTAAAAGTGGGGAGTAGTTAATCTTCCATTTCAGGAACGGAGGACCCAAAGACCAGCCAGAGGGAAGAGCATGAGTGGAATGTGAGATCCTAGCCAGAAAAGCAGCGTCAGCAGAGACAACTGCAGAGGCAATGGCATAGAGAGATCGGGCAGCTGTGGGCTCTGGATCCATGGACTGAGAAAGGCTGTGTGCCTGAGGGCAGGAGGCTGGCTTGCAAAGTGTGCCCTTTGGACATTTAAATGAATATGTATTTTTTGTCTTATATGTGTACATCAAAAAACAAAAAAGCGGGGAGATAGAGGTAAATACTGTTGACTGATGGTATATGGAGGGGATTGTAATCATTGCAATGAAACAAAATATGATTTATTGAATGTAAGACTGATCATCTGCCCTGTAAACTTTCACTCAATTTACAATAAAAACTTAAAAAGAAATGTCGTGATCTTCCACGATTAAATCGAATATAATGCAATCACAGCCATGATGTGATCTGCTGCATGTATCCTATAAGTTATAAATACTCACTTCTCTGATGTTCATGAGGCCGCATGCAATTGACAGGATTAGTTTGTATCTTGAGTCAATTTCTTTTGAGATATTTTTGTTCTTGTTGTTAAGTGCCGTCAAGTTGGTTCCAACTCATAGCGGCCCTGTATAGAGTTTCCTAGGAGCAGCTGGTGGGTTTGAACTGACGACCTTGTGGTTCACAGTCCAGTGCTTATCCTATAGCGCCACACCAGATACAAGAGAGATTGAATACGCAAGCAGAGCTCAGAGCAACCAAGGAAGAAGAACCAAGAGTAGAGTGTGTTCCTGCACCTCCTAGAAAGATCCAAGGAAAGACTGATGTCAAGACACATGTAGATCTCCAAGCAATGCTGGACCTACAGATGCTGAAAAGAAGCAAGGACCTTTCTGTAGAGCCAACAGAAAGAGAAAAACTTCCTCTAGAGCCAACACTCTGAATGTGGACATCTAGCCTCCTAGACTGTGAGAATAAATGTCTGCTTGTTAAAGCCAGCCACTTGTGGTATTTCAGTTCTAGCAGCGCTAGAGACCTCAGACAAAAAGGGAACTACAGGGGAGAGCTGAACATGCGTTCTGAGCCAGAACTCAGGGGAATTCACAGGTCCAGAGGGTGAGGCCCCAAACTTCGTGCTCACCACAACAATCAGGGTGGGGTTGGGAGGTGGATCAAGGCTGAGAAGGCAGAGGTACAACAGCTCCCAAGGAACCTAAATGAAGAAAGGGAAAGGAAAATAGGGAACTTAGACTCAGGAATGAAAGAGGAGGGGAGAAAAGAGGTGCCCTAGGGGAGACCCTGCCCTCATCCCACATGACCTAAGGAAGCCCCTTCTCAGTACGGAGGGAGGAAGCACAGCAGAGCAGGCACGTCTAGGACAGCTGAGCTCGTGTGAGTGGTTCTGGAGTTGGATTTCGCCACAGAGAGAACAGAAAGCAGACATCAGAGACCCATGGAGCCCCTCTCAGTTGCTCCCCACAAAGGGTGCATTTCCTGGAAGCAAGTACTACTCACAGGTGAGAGGGGACAACTCCTTGGAATGGGGGAGGGCTGGAGAACAAAGACTAGATGGGGCTTCCTGGAGAGGTCAGAAGTCTGGGAGGTGACAGAAATCTCCCTGTGGAGCTCCAGTGGAGAGAACACAGGAGGGGGAGGGTCCAGACACAGGAAATACCAATGAACTGAAATTGGTAAGGGGGAGTAAAATCTCATGTAATACACATTTTTCCAAATTAGCCATCCCTAGATAATCAACTTTGAAAACGGATGACAGAATAAAATTTATGTTCATATCACACCTAGCAAAAGTCTTAACAATATGTACAACATTGTCCTTACCTATCTATTTCAGAAATGGGAAATACACACCCTGACACCAAAACTTGGAAGGGCCCTGGGTTCATCTCCCAGGTACTGACAGGCCAGGCTAAGCACTAGGGGTGCACAGAAGAAGACAAGCCTCTGCCTTCATAAAGCTCAGCTCTAGAGGAGAGGGACCTGTGATGTCAGGTGTTGATAAGTGCCGTAGAGGACAAACAGCAGGGAAATGTCTGAAAGTGAGGACCGAGGGTCTGTAGATGAGGTGTCAGGGAAGACAACAAGCAAGGATGTGAGCAGGTACATGAGGGCAGTGAGTTAGAGAGTTGTGTAGACACCTGGGGTGGGGGCGGGGGGATATGAGAAAAAGGAATTAAGTTCAAAGTCATTGTTGACCTTGGGAAGCACACACACCCCATGTTCAAGGGCTGAAAAGGACATGCTCAGACTCAAGAGTCCCAACTTGGCATTCCAATTGCTGATTGATTTCTCTCTCTTTCCTCCTAGTCTCACTTATAATCTTCTGGAGCCTGCTCATCACAGCCCAGAGCACTGTTGAATCAGTGCCCTTCAATGCTACTGAAGGGAAGGATGTTCTTCTACTTGTCCACAACCTTTCAGTAGATGCCTTCAGCTATAGCTGGTACAAAGGGAAACGTTTAGACACAGAAGATCAAATGGCAGCATATGCAATACAAACTCAATCAAATATTTCAGGGCCTGCCTACAACGGTAGACAGACAATATATTCCAATGGGTCTCTGCTCTTTCAGAATGTCACTCTGAAAGACACAGGAATCTACACACTACAAATAACAAAGACAAATGGTCTGCTTGAGACATTAACTGGACAGATCCGTGTATACTGTGAGTAATTCCTCTGTCATCTGGGTGTGGAGTGGGTTAATTTTAATGTAAAGATAAGGATTGACAGGTCTGAACTCTTTGCTGTGCTTACACCCCTCTGCATTCCATTCTTGGAGGTCTGAGCATTTTGATCAGAATTCACGAATTGAAATCTTGCTGACATCCACACAGAGAGTAGAGGGGACTTATGGGGAGTAACTCAGAGTTCACTCAGTCATCCTCCCGGGGCTCCTTTGAATGAACTTGTCCTGGGAAGACTTTGGAGGACTATGTCACACCCTGGCTTCAGGGGCCCCTGGAAGAAGCTCAACTACAGGTGGTCCTGAGGAACCTGTATTGAGGGTTGGTCCTGACTTCAGGTGGTCCTGAGGAACCTGTATTGAGGGTTGGGGAGTAGCCTCTGGGTGAAGCTGACTGGTAGCAATAGTTTCCTCCCCGTAAATTGACTGCTCAAGTTGTTGGGGTAGGTTGGCAGCCAGGACTGTTCTGAGGGATATTCTAAGAAGTTTCTGAGCTGTATCTCTTACCTTAGACTCAGTTTGGAGTCTACAGATGGACATGTACCCCAGGTCATTAGCCAACTGCCCTGGGGTAGAGGTGGGGGACTAGAAGATTCCACAGGAAGGTCGGCAGCTATAGGAAGAAGGAAAATGGGAGCTGATACTACAGGCAGCTCCTTTTCCTCCTGAGGAAGCCCTCTCAGTGAGGCAAACAATAATTTTGTGTTGTTGGGTACCCCATTGAGTCATTTCCAACGCATAATGATCCTACGCACAATAGAACAAAGTCCCACCCAGTCCTGAGCCACCCTCACAATCTTTGTTGTGTTTATTCACTGTTGCAACCTTCGGGTCAGTTCATTTTGGGGCTTTCCTCTTTTGGGATGATCCTCTACTTTACCAAGCATGATGTCCTGTTTTAGGGACTGCTCCATCATGACAACATGACAAAAGTACAAACGGTCAAGTCTTGCATCCTCGCTTTTAAGGAGAATTCTGAATTTACTTCCAAGACAAATTTGTTTGTTCTTCTGGAAGTCCATGGTACTTTTAATATTCTTCTCCAACATCATAACTCAAATGCATCAATTCTTTTTTGGTGTTCTTTATTCTTTGTCTAACTTTCACATGAATATGATGTGATTGAAAATACCATGACTTAAGTCAGGCCCACCTTAGTCCTCAATGTGACATCTTTGCTCTTTAAAGAGGCCTTTTGTCCAACCAAAATCCTTGGATTTCTTAAATGCTGCTTTCATTAGCAATGATGGTGGATCCAAGTAAAATGAAATCCTTGACAACTCCATTCTTTTCTCTGTTTATCACGATGATATTTATTGGTCCAGTTGTGAGGATTTTACTTTTCTTGACACTGAGTTGTAATCCATACTCAAGGCTGTATTCTCTGATCTTCATCCGCAAGTGCTGCAAGTCCTCTTCACGTTCAGAAAGCAAGATTGTGTCACCTGCATATCACAGGTTGTTAATGAAATTTCCTCTACTCCTAATGCCACATGTTTCTTCATATAGTCCATTTTCTTAGATTATTTGCTCAACATAGCTTGAATAAGTATGGTGAAAGGATACAACCCTGACACAAACCTTTCCTAGTTGTAAACCATTCAGAATCATCTTGATCTACCTGAAAAATTGCCTCTTGGTCTATAAACAGGTTCTTCCTGAGCAGAGGCAAGTTTTCTGGAATTCCCATTCTTCACAATGTTATCCATAGCTTGTTATGGTCCACACAGTTGAATGCCTTTGCATAGTCAATAAAACATAAGTAGACATCTTTCTGGTATTCTCTGCTTTCAGTCAAGCTCTATCTGATACCAGCAGTGATATCCCTCATTCTGAAGCAGGCTTGAATTTCTGACAGCTCCCTTTCAAAGTGCTGCTGCATCTGGTGTTGAATTAACTTCAGGAAAATTATACTTGCATGTGTTATTGATGATATTGTTCAATAATTTCTATATTCTGTTGGGTCACCTTTCTTTGGAATGGGCACAAATGTGGATTTCTTCCTCTTGATTGACTAGAAGTGTATTCCAAATTTCTTGACATAGATTATTGAGGTTTTTTTTGTTTATTTTGTTTTGTTTGTTTGTTTCGATGTTGTTTTATTTACTTATTTTTTAATGTTTTATTGTGAAGTATGTGAGAGCTTAGATGGGAGAACATTAGTTTTACGTTCATCCTATCGTATATCATTTCATTGCCATGGTTACAATCCCCTCATGCATCATCAACAAACCAAAGGGTAAACCCTGTCAAGTCTGCCCCCGGGTCATCAGCACACAGCCCATCTCCCTCTCTGAGTCTAGAGTCTCCAGCCGCTCCATCTCTCCATGTCATCATCTCTGCCTCCATCTCTGGTGTCACTGTTTCTCTGGGTAGAGTTCCGCACTCGGCTCTTCTCCCAGATTATTGAGTTTTGAATTTATGTTTGTCAAAGCCATCTACTTGTGGTATTTTGGCTACAGAGCAGCACTAGAGAACTAAGACAGAGGGGGACTTCCAGAGAGAACGGAATGTGTATCCTGACCCAGAACTCAGAGAAATGCACAGGTTCAGAACTGAGACCTCAAGCTTTGTGCTTACCACAACAATCAGGGTGGGGCTGGGTCAAGGCTGAGAAGAGAGAGGTGCAACAGTTCCCAGGGAAATGAAATGAAGAAAGGAAAAGGAAAGAGGGGAACTTAGACTCAGGAATGAAAGAGGAGAGGAGAAAAGAGGTTCTTCAAAAGCACAATTAAATGTTCTGAAATACCCAAACTTTGCAACATCATTCATAGCTTGTTATGGTCCACACAGTTGAATGCCTTTGCATAGTCAATAAAACGTAAGTAAACATCTTTCTGGTATTCTCTGCTCTCAGTCAAGATCCATCTGATGTCAACAGTGATATCATTGCTTTTTAATGCATTAAAGAGGTTTAATGTCTGGGAAATGGTAAAGAATGAAGATATCAGGCTAAGTGGAAGCCCCTGTGAGAACTCTATTGATCATCAATATACTGATGTCACCAGGAGAACAAGCTTCAACTGTGTTCTTGTCCAGGGTTTTATCCTTAAAAATGCCAGCACATGGGACAGCCATGTAGGATGGAATGCATCTCCTAGATTTACTCTCTACACTGTTCCAATCAGGAAGTCATAGGCAGGGGGAACAAGCCTGAAGTCCCCAAGGCACAGAGGCACATTTTACACTTGACTAACACCCTTATCCTTGGTATGAGGTTCACAGTCCACCAGAGGTTGTGAGACCTTTCTCCACAGAAGAGCTTCTTCACCATGTGCTATTGATTAGGTTTACCTGTGAAGTGACTAAGTATACCCCCTGCTTCATGGGCATGAGTGCTCTTCATCACAACAGCATGGACACAAGGTAGGGTCCTCTTGGATTAGAGATGCATGAGCCACTGTCCTGTAAGTGAGACTCTGCTCAGTTTGAAGTTTCATTTCTAAAACATGTCCATTTTCTTGGCGCTTTATAGGAGTTAATGACATACCATACATTATATGTTATAACAATATATTGTTGGTGCTATTGAAGCAGTTCCAACTCATAGTGTACAACAGTATGAAACACTGTCCAGTCCTACACCATCCTCACAATTATTGTTAAGGTGGAGCCCACTGATGTAGCCACTGTGTCAGTCCATCCATTGAGGAGCTTCCTGTTTTTGTTTACCTTCTACTTTCTTGAGCATGGATGTCCTTCTTCAGGGATTGGTTCCTTTGATAACATGTCAAAGTATATAAGACAGTCTTGTCATCCTCATTCTAAGAATCATTCTGGATGTACTTCTTCCAAGACTGATTTATTCATTATTCTGGAAGTCCATAATATATTTAATGATCTTTGCCAACACCATAATTCAGATGCATCAACTCATCTTCAGTCTTTATTATTCACTGTCCAGCTTTCACATCATATTGTTATTGTTGTTGTTAAGTGCAGTTGAGTCAATTTACTCTTAGGGTTTCTGAAGGCTCTAAATCTTTACAGGAACAGCATTCCCTCACATCATATTCATATGAGGCAATTGAAAATACCATGTCTTGGGTCAGGTGCACCTTATTCTTCAAAGTGACATCTTTGTTCTTTAACACATTACAGAGATTTTCTGCAGCAGATTTGCCCCCAAACAATATATCATCTGGTCTCTTAATGCTGCTTCCATGGGCGTTGGTTGTGAATCCAAGTAAAATGAAATCCTTGATAACTTCAATCTTTTCTACAATTATTTCGATATTGCTTATTCGTTCAGTTGTGAGGACTTTTCTTTCCTTTATGTTGAGGTGTAATCCATAGGGAGGGCTGTAAGTCTTTCATCTTTATCAGTACGTATTTCAAATCCTCTTCATTTTTTGGCAAGCAAGGTTCTATCATCTGTACATCACAGGTTGTTGATGGATCTTCCTATAGTCATGATACACATTCTTCTTCATATGGTCCAGTTTCTCCTATTATTTGCTCAGCATACAGATGGAGTAAGTGTAGTGAAAGGATACAACCCTGACCCATACTTTTCCTGATTTCAAATCGCAGAGTCTCCCTTATTTTGTTTGAAATACCAGTTGGTCTATGCACAGATTCTGCATGGGTATAATTAAGTGTTCTGGAATTTCCATTCTTTCCAAAGTTATCCATAATTTGTTATGATCCAAGCAGTCAAATACTTTTTTATAGTCAATGAAATGCATGTAACATCTTTCTGGTATTCTCTGCTTTCAGCCAAGATCTATCTGACACCAGCAATGATATCCTCATTCCATATCCTCTTCCAACTCTAGCTTGAATCTCTGGCGGTTCTCTGATAATGTACTGTTGTACTGCTATTTGGAATGTTGTTAAGCACCATAGAGTCGGTTCTGACCTCATAGTGACCTTGTAAAGGGTTTCCAAGGAGTAGTTGGTGGGTTTGAACCACTGAGCTTGCTGTTCAAATTGACCTTGTGGCTCAGAACTTTAGATTGCCTTCAGTAAAATATTCCTTGTATGTGATATTAATAAGATTGTTCAATAAATGCTATACTCTATTTGGATCACCTTTCTTTGGAATGGTTATGAATATAGATTGCTTCCAGTCAGTTGGCGAGGTAGCTGTCTTCCAGGTTTCTTGGAATAGATTAGTTAGTCCCTCTAGTGCTGCATTAATTTGCTGAAACATTTCTATTGGTTTTTCACCAATTCCTCTAGCCTTGCTTTTCACTAACACCTTCAGTGCAGCTTGGACTTCCTCCTTCAGTACCATTGGTTCTTGATCATATGCTACCTCTTGAAATAATTGAACATCAACCAATTTTTTTTGATACAGTGACTATATTTCTTCCATCTTCATTTGAAGTCTTCCTATATCATTAAAAAATTTTGCCCATAGAATCCTTCAAATTTGCAACTTTAGACTTGAATTTTTTTCTCTCGTTCTTTCAGTTTGAGAAATACCAAGTATTTTCTTCCCTTTTGGTTTTCTAGCTCTAAATCTTTGCATGTTTCATTATAACACTTTATTTTATCTTTTTGAACTGTTCTTTGAAATTTTCTCTTCAGCTCTTTTACTTCATCATATCTTCCTTTCACTTTAGCTACTCTAAGTTCAAGAGCAAGTTCCAGAGTCTCCTGACATTCATTTTGGTCTTTTCTCTCTTTCCCGTCTTTTAAATCACTTTTTGCTTTCTTTCTGGATAATGTACTTGATGTCATCCCACAACTCATCTGGTCTACAGTTATTAGTGTTCAGTGTGTCAAATCTATTCTTAAGATGGTCTCTAAACTCAAGTGGGATGTACTGAAGTCTTAGCATTCTGGTTATGAGTTGGGCTGCTAATCTCAAGGTCAGTAGCTGGAAACTACCAGCTGTTCCATGGGAGAAAGATGAGGTTTTCTGTTTCCGTAAAGATTTATAGCTTTGGAAATCCTATACAGGGTGGTTATGAGTCAAAACTGACTCCACAGCACAAAATCACCACCACTACCACCAGAATGATTCTAATTTTGTTCAGCTTCAACTTGAACTTGCATATGAGCAAGTTGATGGATTGTTCCATAGTCGGCCCTTAGTTTGTTCTGACATATGATATTGAGCTTCTCTATCATCTCTTCCCAGAGATGTAGTCTATTTTATTCCTGTGTTTCAAACTTCTATCATGCAATCTCCAATGTCATTTCTATCACCAAGGCCTATTTTCCAACCACTGACCCTTCCTCTTTGTTTCCACCTTTTGTATTTCACTCATCAATAATTATCAATACATCTTGATTACATGTTTGATCGATTTCAGATTACAGAAGTTGATTAAAAAAAAAAAAAAAAAAACCTCTCCAATTTCTTCATTTTTGGCATTAGTGAGAAGTCCCATAAATACCCACCCACTTCTATAATATTCTTGAAAAGGGAAGCCTCAGAAAATACAGCAGAGTCAGACAATGTAGAATTGTATAACTGGAAGGTACTTCAGACAGCTCACATTCCAGGTGAGGGAACTTAGATTGGTCAAGACTTCAGGTAGTCAGGGATCAAGTCTGTGACATGCCCCCTAACCATCCTGTGTTTTCCATCATCACATGCTGCATTTATTTAATGCTTGGGTTTTCCCAGAGAAAAAGCAGGCAAGCCTCACATTCTGAATGCTCAGTTTGTATTGCATTTGCTTTGTAATACAAATGCCTGCCGTATTCTTTTAAGGATAAATGTGTTGACTTCGAGGTGAGAGATACCCATTCTTATTGAAAGATGTATTTGGAGAAATTCAAGGCACTGAACAAAGCAATCTTCTCTGTTATTTGCACAGCGGAGATACTCAGACCCTTCATCACAAGCAACAACTCCAACCCCATGGAAGACAAGGACTCTGTAACTTTGACATGTGAACCAAACTACCAGAACACAACCTATCTGTGGTTGATAAACAATCAAAACCTCCCAGACAGCACCAGATTGGAGTTGACTATGGATAACAGAACTCTCACTATATATAGTGTCACAAGGAATGACACAGGACCCTATGTGTGTGGAACCTGGAGTCCAGTGAGTGCCCATCATAGTGACCCGTTCACTCTGAATGTTCTCTGTGAGTAACTTCTGTTCCCACATGGCACAGGCTTTCAATCCAAGTCCACACTGCCAGAGACCAGGCTATACCATTCTCTGTCAGGTTCAAGTACATGGGACCCACAGTCCCTGGTCACCCAACTGGCCTTGACTTCCATTTACAGGCACATCTGGGCAGACTCACCCATGCAGCCAGATAATGACAGGAGGGTCTTCTGGGCCTGTGTTGAGATTCTCTGGGTCCACTCCTGTGATGGGAAAAACAAGTTGTTGGTCTCAGAATCAGGCTTTTGAACAAGGAGGTTTATTATTTTGAACTTTCTAAAACAAGGCTTGGCAGGTTACTGTGGTCCTTTATCAGACCAAGAGCTTCCCCTTCCCTCTGGATACATCATAATGTTTGTTTTATTCTGTTTGCTCCAGATGGCCCGGACACTCCTACAGTTTCCCCATCACATTCATATTACCCTCCAGGAGCCACACTCAACCTTTCCTGCCATGTGGCATCCAACCCACCTGCACAGTATTCTTGGTTTATCAATGGGAGTCTCCAGAAACACATACAAAAGCTCTTTATTCCCAACATCGGGGCAAAAGATAGTGGATGCTACACCTGTCTTGTCCACAACCCTGCCACTGGCATCAGCAGAACCAAGGTTAAGATGATCACAGTCTCTGGTAAGTATCTCCCTGGAGCTTTGATGCTGAGCTCAGGGATGGAAGTCTGTCCGGCTTCATGAAAGAGTCACAAAGAGGGTATTCCCCATCCTGTGTTCCTTGGGTACACACAAATCCCAATATTATTCCTGAGTACTCCCACCACATCTGTGCAGACTATTCCTACCTTTGCTCTGCTTATTTCTTAGGGCAGACTTTGGGTTCAACTTGGTATGAAAGAAGTGGATGCTCTCAACTCCAGAAACCCTGTACAATGGGAGGGAGAGAGAAAGGTTATTAGGATAAAGATGCTTCTCTCCATCACTGTTGCTGTTTTTGAGTGCCTTTGAGTCAATTCCGACCCATAGGAATCCTGTATAGGGTTCCCAAGGAGCATCTGGTGAGCTTGAACCGCCGACCTTGCAGTTCAAATGGCTTTGCAGTCTGGCACATTAACCCACAGCACCACACTCTCTCCATCGCTAGGCATGTCCATTTCTGTCACCTCTCTCTTTTCCTTCACTGACTCCATGTGCTACCAGGAACAAACAAGGCTTTGAAACAAGCTCATGCTTTTTCTCCCAAATGAGAGGATGGAACAGTCTCAGGCAGGGTGATGGAAAGGATGGGACTCTGTCTCACTTCTCTACTCCATACTTCCCAGGACACTGACCCTATTCTGACATCATCTAAGATTGGACTGGGGAGGATGGAACAGGTGCATGTGAACCATGTCCTAATCTTATTGAAAAGTACAGCCCCTGGATCCAGAGAAACCTGGGCTTCTGTTTCAGGGAAAGGGAGAAAAGTTCTAGTTTCCTGGCAGGTGTATCTGAGACCTGGCGTGGCTCTGAAGTCACAGCTGTATATGCTGAGGTAACACGGTCACAGATGATGCACAAGGGAAAATGATAAATTATGAATGCCAGGAAAAGTAGGTAGATTCATCCATGAATCTTTTCATAGGGGGAGGGGAGAGAATTGTATAGTTTATGTTGTTGTTGTTGTTGTTGTTGTTGTTATGTGCTGTGGAGTCGGTTCCAACTCATAGTGACCCTGTACAGGGTTTCTGAGGTTGTAAATCTTTATGGAAGCAGAAAGCCTCATCTTTCTCTGGCGGAACAGCTGGTAGTTTTCGAACTGCTGATCCTGAGGTTAGCAGCCCGATTCGTCACCACTACACTAAGGGCTAAAGCTGTAACAACTTCTCTCGAGATCTCCATCACCTGATACTCAATCCACAAATCAGAAAGTAAAAGTCTTTTTCAGATTAGCAAATCCTTTAAATTGGAAACTCTCCATTTCCAAAAGTTTTGAAGACTGGGTTAGGCCATCTTCAATACCCTGTAAATTGTTGACCAAAATCAAAATACCTTCCCTTCCTCAAATTAATCTACCCTTGGTAGTGCTGTGGGTTAGGTGTTGGGCTGCTAACCAAAAATTCAGTGGTTCAAATCCACCTGCCACTCAACAGGGGACAGATGAGGCCATCTGCCTTCCCTACATACATGAAAGTGTCTATGAGAGAGGGGCTCTTACCTTATAAAGTCATAGGAGAACCTGAGAAAGGAACACACAAAGGTCCAAGGGTCATTATTCTACCTGATGACAAGGTTGCTGAACACATGGGCTGAGAAGATGTTTAAATCCCAGCCAGGGGGGCTGCACCTGTTTCCTCAGAAGAAGAAACCTGCTCTGTCCTCACAGATCATCACCTGGGCAGACACGAGACCTCTGCAGAGGGCCAGGACCTCCTGTGTGTCACTTTGCAGGGCTCACTGTTGGGTTTGTAAGCTGCCTGAGATCTTCTAGGAAGGAGAGTGATCGTACCCCAGATCCCCTCTCACAGTCACCTCCTCTGTTTCTCCACAGAGTTGGTAACAAAACCCACCATCCAAGCCAGCAACATCACAGTCACAGAACATGAAGGCCCCGTAGTCCTGAAATGCTTGGCCAAACACAATGACATCTCCATCCAGTGGGTCTTCAAAGGGCAGAGCCTGAGGCTCACAGAGAGGATGACTCTGTCCCAGGATAACAGCTCCCTCACCATAGACTGCGTCAAGAGGGAGGATGCTGGGAATTATCAGTGTGAGGTCTTCAATCCTGTCAGTTTCAGCAAAAGTGACCCCCTCACCCTGACTGTAAAATGTGAGCATATCTTCATCCCTTCCTATTGGAAAATCTCAATGTTTTTATTTGCAGTATGGTGGATGTGATGAACATTACAGAGTAGTTGTGAATAGCCAGTGGAAAGAGGACTGGAAAAACCTTCCACAATTGTACTCTGACACTAAATGTCATTGTCATTAGAGTTGGCACAAAGTCACGTTCACCTCCTGTCCCAGCACTCTGGGTCTCAGCTGCACCCTCTCCATAGTAGAAGGGACACGGCTCCCTCCCACAAACAGGCAGTGTCCGTGGGCAAGGACGCGGGGCTTTGAACACTGCTCAGCACAAGGTCAGCTCTCAAGCTTCTCCAGCGATACGTGCGGGAAGGCACTTGGACTTAACCATGGCAAAGAGACTAGACAAGAGAACATTCAAATGATGATAATATGCAGACAAAATGTATTTTATACAATGCAATCTGCCCACAAGGTCTCAGTCCAAGGGTGGGGAGAGGGCTTGTAGAATCAAGGAACTGAGAAACTGGGACAAGGTACAAAAGTTGAGGGAAAGGGACTTTCTTGGGGGGAGGTTCCCGTTCCACCCACATTCCACCCTACTTAAACCCTCCTGGTTGGCTTCTCCCTAAAGTGCAGATTGCAATTCAGGACTCTGGACATCGATGTCTCTGCAGGAAGAGGGTCTCCCATTACTGATACCTAACAGACAGACGGTGACACTTAGCAACAACAACACCAATGCAGACAGATATTGACAATGGGAAGGTCTCTGTCCATGAGGTGTCATCACTGCCTGGGAAAGATGCATCCAGGACCACCTGCTTGTTAGGAACACATCCCAGGCTGAATCACAATGGGGTGAACCTCAAATGATGAATCTCAGACTTCTCTCCCTCTCTGTCCACTGCAGATGATGAGTCTGAAGTAGGCTGGGACATCTCTGATGGAGTCATCGCTGCCATAGTGATTGCAGTCACTGTCGGGATGCTTTTGGTGGCCACTCTGGGATATTTTTTGCTCCTCAACAGGACTAGAGGGTATGATGGCTCATGTGCTACCTCATCTCCCACTTCTAGGCTATCCCTAAGCCAGGAGGTAGAAGGCCCCATCCTCATATTCTGGACTTGCTCCCCTCCACCTCCCTACCACCCAAGAATCTTCCCCTCTCCCTCCATCTCATCATTTTCCACCTCTCTCACTGTGTGCTGACCACAGACTGTGTCCTCAGTCTCGTCATCTATAAATTAGGAACAATTATAGCCCCATTCCTCAGTGCGGTCCTAGTTCATCCACACAGCAAACCAACTGCATGCAGTATTTGGGAGGTAATTGGTGTTCAGTTGATGCACCTACTATTGTTGATTTAAATCCACCCAACTTGGTGAATGGAAACTCCTTTCTTGTATTCTGGGCCAGCTTCCTCCTGCATCAGCACTGGAATGAAGACCCTTTCCTTTGGGACCATGGCAGATATGGCTTCTATTCAGCTCTTTCCCTGTCTTACCACTGAAGTGATGGGAAGAGGACATGGAACCCCTCCTTATCCTATGTTTTGACTCATAACACTGTGCTGTCACACCACACCCTCAAAAATAACCTGATCTTTCCTAGGGCCAGTAGCCAAAGTGACCGTGAAAATCAGCAGCTCCCAGCATCTATCCCCGTTAAATACACATTCAGTCTGTTAAGCTGGGTGCCCCGAGGCCTCCCCTCAGTGTCCATCCCTGTTCATTTCATCCTGGGTCCTCTAACCTTAGCCTGTGGCTTCAGGAAGGAGAGCATAGAGCCCTCAGGGCAGATGGTCCATGTCCTGACCTATGGGGCTTGGGACCAGGAACACTTCTTGGCCTCACATATTCCCTAAGGTGCAAGGGTCTCTCTCTCCAGGAGATGCTCTCATCTCCTTGGATCTTTAGTTCCTTTACATCCCTGAGTGCTAACTCCTCTCTCTTGTCCCCAGGTCACAGTCCATCTGACAACTCTACCTTCCTGGTAAGACCATCTCTTTTTTTATTCCATCACCATGGGGAGGCTCTGGGCATGAGAACTGGCCAACTCCTCTCATGAAACAGATTCAACACTCCTTTCAATAAAGCCAGGACAGAGTTAGTCTGAGCCCACACTGTGTGCACTCAGTTAAGTGAGAACCTGGAATCCAACAAGGGACACAGAGCAGCACCGGCAGTAGTCAGAGGTCCGGTATGACAATGAGGATGCAGTAGGAAGACGCAGGTTTTAGACCGATGCACAAGAAGCAGAGATGACCGTTTCTGAGGAGATTTGACCTAAAAATCCAGGGGTATGAGCTCTGAGCTATCAGGGACAAGAACCTTCCAGACTAAGCCATGGCAGCTGCCCACTTGGGCCTCAGCCTTAATGATTCTTCCTGACTATTCCCTGAAGTCCCTTCTGTCTCCCTCACCAGAACCCTCTGTATAGCAGCTAGTCAGCTGTTCTCATCTATGAGGTGAGTGTGAGCCATGAATGTTCTAGGTCTACAGGCTCAAGGGAGTCTCAGAACCTCCCCTCCCCTGCACCAGATTGCTTTGAATTCAGGAAACAACAATAAAGATGGGGCTGGGATGGTGAGCAGTGGGGGCAGGGATGGTGAGCAGTGGAGCCTGGGAGCAGGGACCTCCTTGAGTATAGCCAGACCCACAACAGAGAAAACCTAAGTGAGACACAGAGCCAAGGAGAAGCTAAAACATGTTCTGAGACTAGAAGAAACCCCAAAGTCTTTTGGTTCTTCTCCTTTTTTGCAAAACAGGAATTGATTGTGTTTGACAAAAACATTTCCTGCCAGATCCATCCCAAAGCTGACGTGACTCCTTAGGTGTCTCCAGGAACTGCTGAGAAAACCTTGACTACCTCAAGGTTCAGACTGTGGGAACGTGGCAGGAGTCTGAACAATATTATCATCTCTGAGCCTTGAGGAGACCTGAGAGCAGGGGTGGAGGCAGGGGGGTCCCCCTTAGCTCTCTGAAGACCTAGAAAGGCTGCTCTTGTCTCACACAGAAACAAGACAAAGGCCTCCTGTCCCACCCTACCAGAAAGTGAGGAGCCTCCAGGAAAAGTGAACCTATGACCCACCATTGATTATACAGAATAACTCTGAATAAAGAAGATTCTTCCTCCTCGTTTTCTTTCTTTCTGCATGTGGAAACATTCTCATCACAAAATTTTATCTGAAGCTCCAGGTTCTTCTCTCCTAGGGCCCACAGGGATATATTATATCGAAATGACTCCAACCCCTGTTTTTATTCTGACAGAGAAGATTTGAAGGTGGATACAGGTAGGAACATGCTCGACAGGAAAGGGTGGTTTCCACAAGAGCCAGGCTCAGCCCAGAGAACTCTGCCCTGTCCCCACACTGCCCCAAAGACCCGGGGACCCTGGACAGCTCCCAGCTTTGCCTTATGGGTAATTCAGATAGCAGAGGAAATGGAGCCATGTGCAGGCCTCACAAAGATGACCATGGAGGAACAACCATGTGGGTGGAAATATTATAGGGATGGACTTTTCTAAGCCTCTGGTGTCCTGGGCCCTCCTGTCCTTTCATTCAAGACCCAGATGGTTCCCAACTGACACACTGTCCTTCACAAATAAATTCACTTGTCCCCAGATCCAGGATCCCCAGGCAGCACCTCTGTCCTCCTCGGTCTCAAAAGCCAGCCCTCTGACCAGCTCTATCTCAGAGATGAGGAGGATAGTGAGAGAATGTTGGAGTAACTGACACAGGGGATGACCCAGAATCCAGGACCCCAGCACTGGTCCTTACAGCCATTGTCATGAATTCTAGACCATGCTTCTGTCAGTTCTGGAAACAAAGCTGGTCTGTTTGCTAAAACATGAAGCCCACAGGCCACAAGGCTCTTCAACCATTTTCTGCCATGAAGTAAAAACAATCACAATATAAAAACAGCCACATCATAATTTAACCCTAAATGACTTCTAACCAACACACATATATCATTGAATTGAAAAAACAATCCCTCTCCCCCCACCTTAGGGACATTTTATCATCACTTTCACCACGAAACACGTGGTCAGAATAGTCCTGGCTGTGCCGACTACAGTGTCAGTTACAGCGTGTGTCCACAGTATAGTCACTGATCTGAGAGACGGAGACCATGGCCCATCCACACTCCTTCCAATCCCTCTCATCCTCTTCCTTGTTAATAATACTCAGATGTGAAGAAGAAACATAACATGAGAAAATTCACAAATCAATAAGAATTCATGATGGTCAGTTCCATGGACATTGTGACTGGGAGGCTCACTCGTGGGTACCACAGCAGGAAGCACACAGAAGTGACTGCTGGAGAGGCCTCTCATTTCTGTTCCCCAGGAAAAAGGAAGCAATGAGTGAGAACGTTACTACAGGGGTAACTCCAACTATTTCCTAACTGATAAATTACAAACTCATAGCACATGCTTGAACCTTAGGGTTCCAGGGACATTCCTGGACAACATCCAGCATGGTGGATTGCTGCACCCATGTTGCTTCAGGAAGGCTGAGAGCCTGATACAGCTTCAAAGTGAATCTCCATGCCTGAGTCACAGGCCTCCCTGACAAAGCAATGAGAATTTCATGGTTAACTTCTGGCCTCAGAGTCTGACCTTGAAACCACAGTCCCTCACCTAGCCTGGAGTTCCCCTTGAGCACAGTCTTCCTCCTGAGCCATGGCTGTGTCCCCAGGGTTGCAGGATAGAGCCAAATCTGGGAGATAATTGGTGCTCAGCTAGTGTGCCTCCTATTACTTATTTAAATCCACCTAACATGGTCTATGGGAATTCCATACTTGTGTTCTGGATCCCTGCTGGGTCAGGTTTCTTTTGGGACGGCATCTGCCTGAGGATTTTTTCTGAAGGAAATATAGAAAGGCCTTTAGAAGCTACACTTGCCCAGGACAAATGTCGCTTCTTGAGGCTTTTCTATATTCAGCAACCCTCTTTGGGTCTTTCCTTCCCATCACTGGAGTGATGGAGAGAGGAATTGTCCACCCCCTGCTAGAAATGGAGTCCCCCTCTCCTCCTTGTCCTCTGTAACCACAAATAACCTGTCCTTTTCTAGGGTCAGCAGCAAAAGTGACCTTGGAAATTAGCAGACTCCAGCATCTAACCCCAGTGAGTGCGCATTCAGCATGGCGATCTGGGTGCCCCTGAGGCCTCTGAGTTCATTTGTGTATTGCCTCTAAATTATCCCAACCCCTGTTTCTATTCTTTGGCTAAGTAGGTGAGAATAGGACCAAGCTCATGTGAAAGGGTGATTTTCACAAGAGCCAGACTCGGGAAGGAGAACTGCAATGTACTCACATTGAATCTCCAAGTGTCCATTTCTGCCCACTGCCCACTGGGGTCTCTGATATATGCCTGTGGTTCAGAGATGGGAACCTTCAGAACAGAGGGCTTCAGAGTGACCATGTCAGTCCTGACCTGTGGGGTCTGGGACCAGGAATACACCTTGGTCTCACTTATTTCCTTTTGGTCCCTAAAATGGCCCAAGGGTCTCTCTCCAGGAGATGCTCCCAATTCTTGGATCTCTGGAGACTGAGGACCCACCAGTTCCTCTTACTCCAAGGGAGCCCAAGGTAGCACTCCTGTGAGTGCTAACCCCAGATAATTATCTGCTCCCCAGGTAATGATCAATCTGGAAGTTCTGCCTCCTTGGTAAGACTATCCCCCTTCCACCCTCTCACAGTAGGTTCCATCTGTGCCAGCTCTGGCCAACCCGCCACACAGTACAAACCTACCACTTTTTCCAGAAAAGAGCTCCATCCTGACCAGAATCTGGGCCTCCTTTCCGGAGTAGGGACTACCCCACACCCTGTCCTGAACCCACATTATGCCCATTCAGTTGTCTTAAAAGAGGACCTGGAGTCCAGCAAGGAACACAGAGCGATCCCAGCAGCAGCCAGGGCTCCCAGGATAACAAGAGCGAGTGTTGGGGATGCAGTGAAAGGCACCAGATGTTATGGTGCAGTTGGGAGGCTGATGCTCAAGGAAGCAGAGATGATCACTTTTGATGAGAAGTGACCTAGGACCTGGGCGCCTACTCATTTGTGCCTCTGCCCTAACAATCTTCCCTGCCTGTC